GCATGAGAGCCCCAAGGGGTGATATAGTACCACCCCTTCGAGTCGTCCTTCCCTACGACCCTAGCGTGGAATAAGGTCTCGAAGACATGCAGGGGTAAGTCCTCGCCTAAGAACACTTCCTTCCAAAGGAAGTAGGTCCCTACAACTTGGCTCCACCCATTTGAAAGAATTTGGGTAGGGGACAATATAAAGGTCCTCAGCACCGCCCTAAAGAGAAGGTGTAGAGGCAGATTCACACCTGCTTTAAGCAGGTATTCACTGAAAGCTACACAGTTTGCATCTGAAAACAGGCTCTTTCTTGGGGGTCAGGAACTATGAGCTTTACATAGTAGGGTATGCGATAGGTGTCCCTAAGTTCAGCTAATTTGGAAGAGGTTACGTTGGATGGAATCTTGGCTACCCCCCAACTCGCCTCGTAATCTATGGGCTCCTCGGACATGCTATATCACTCACCCGAAGCCCTAGATATTGACTCTTCCCCACTCTTAACCATTGTAATAGCCAAAGACGCCTCGGTAGACATTGCAAGTAAAAGAAAATTGCGAAAAAAAACTACGGGAATGGTGTTGAAGGTTGGAGAGAATGCTCCTTAATAAAAGAATACCTAGATGGACGAAGAAGTTCGCCGAAAGACTTGCCGGAAAAGATTTGATAGCAAGAAAACTTGAGAGGTTTTGAAGAGTATTTTGTGAAGATAAAGTTTGAAAATGGCAAGGTTCTAGCTTTTATACCAGTAAAGGACTCAATCCTAGCCATTGGATTAAATCTCAGCTGATCTGATAAGTAGATCCGAGCCACAGATTTCAAACGGTTTATATTTTCCACGCTCCAGATTAACGCGTATGTGTACCAGCATAGATTCGCACGTGAACGTGTTCCCCAAAACCACGCATCCTAATAATTACCCATCATTATGCATTGAATTCAAACAGCTGTACGGTTATTGGAAGTCGTTTCAATGCAGCCAACTTGCCTTCAAAACATTAGAAACCGTTATGTCACAGGCACTAATAACTATGAATGTCGCCTCGCTTCAAAGGAATCTAGCCTCACGAGTTCGAATATGAACTCACCTCGCTCCAAAGAATCCAGCCTCGCCAGTTTGAATACGAACTCGCCTCGCTTCAAAGGAATCCAGCCTCGCCAGTTCGAATATGAACTCGCCTCCCTTCAAAGG